TGGTTGGCCTGGATCAACATACGCTCCTTTACGTTTGGGGTTGTCGTTATAGACCCACTTTTCATCGCCCGTGACAATTCGACTCAAAAAACTATGTTTTTTGTGTTCTTTGAGATGTTCTCTGCATGCTGTGATTCGTGCTTTGAGTTGATTTTCGTTCAGTTGATGTGGTACCCATTTTCCTAGCTTTCGAATCTTTCCCATGGCATGTAAACGTCCGGCCATAATCGATGGCTCTCAGCGGCACTTTTCTTCGAATTAAAGAAGAAAAGTAAAACTTCCCGCAAATGTTATTTTTTTGGCACATATGCTGACATGATTGTAAGCGAAAAAATTATGTTGTTTACACTTTGACAAAATAACACATTCTGAAAACTAATGTCAAATGATGTGGCTTTCACGTGAATAAAGTTACAGTATGGTCCGATGCGTTACAGTACAAGTTACGCCATCTGGTAGAAATCCCTCAAAATTAATTTATACACCCAATATATCAGAACATTTTCAGATTTATAGTATTGCGTCACATTGGGAACTTCGAAAGAAGTGTTTTTTTACTTATATCAATAGTTTTGATAGTATTTTGGTTACCGTGAATGGCAAAAGATGAAGATTTTTGTATAGGAAATGTACCATGAACGAATTCTACCGCAAAATAAATGTCATATTCGGTTTTTTCTTATTAAAAAACCCCCAAATACCTATTTTCATAGCAATTGAATAAAAACCAATTTTTTCGAAATATTATTCCAAAAGAATGGTTTCAAGCCGAAAAATCTAAAAAAATTGAACTAATTTCTCAAAACGGTTACCACCATTGAATTCCTCGGGTCCGAATTATGTAAAATCAGTTGTCAAAGTGAACAAACAAAGTAAAAACCTAGTACATTGCAGTTGATTACTAAGATATTAAAATATAGGTGGCCGCTTAAGTTCACACTTTTACCAATTTTCACCAAATAAAAGAATGTTGTCGTTTCAAAATGTGCATATCGGCTCAAAATTGAGTGCGCTTTCCGCTGATTTTTTTTCAAAATGTCTTTATTGCTTCATCAAGATGACCTTAATGTCTTTCCAATAAGCTAAGAATGACATGATTCTGTTAAAAACCCGTGTAGTATACGGGCGCTAAATGGAAGTCGCAGGCGCTCTTATTTGCGCTTTGGAAGAGGAATGACCGAGAGCGCAAAATATTTTGTCGCGCTATCGAGGATTTCTCTTTAAACATTTTCGCATAAAGACACAGCAACCGAATATGAGTTATGTATACAGTACATACAGTCCACAGAGTCGCTCAATATCATAGCACACTATGCACATTGTGCATACTATTCATATTGTGTGCTATGCTAGTAAGTGACTCTGTCGACTGTATGTACTGTATGCATAACTCATATTCTGTTGCTGTGTCTTTATGCGAAAATGTTTAAAGAGGAATCGCCGATAGCGCGAATAAGAGTGCCTGCGACTTCAAATTAGCGCCCGTATACTACACGGGAAACACTCGTATACCTGTGATCAAAAATGACCAATAAATTGAAAATTTGCCGAAAAAAAATTTCAACTTCGAAACGAATTTTTTTAAAAATTCGAATTTTCCCAGATATTAAACATACGCCAAATCATCACATATTTGGTCCCTAACAAACGCCTAGTTTTTTGATTTTTTTCATAGACGCATTTTTTTTTAAATTTGGGTCACGTGAAAAAAGTCATGGTCATTTTTCGCCGAAAATGTCACATAATACGCCACCTGGTGGACATTTTTGGAAATTTTTCCATTTTGATCCTGAAAGGTGAGTCTTTTACCTTTCCAACGACGTATAAATCATTGTTGTACCTTACAGATGGCCAGAAAAATGTACGATTGATGAAAAACTCAAAAACGGCCTCCCAAAAATGTTCGACCCCAGACCAAAACCACTTACGCAACGAATTTTTTGCAACTGAGAAATTAGTTTGCTCAGTTTTCAGTCTACTTTCGAAAAAAAATAATTATACACAATTTAAAAGAAACTACGGACAGACATACAAACACCTCAACCGGCCAATTTCGAGGTTTTTGGCCATTTTTGGCAAATTGACCATATGTCGGCCACTTTTCAACCGATCATGATGATCTTTTTTTTAACATTATCTACGCACTCCCTGGATTCCGAATATGGCCAAAAAAAAATTCTAAAAAATCATTTCGGTAGTCAAAAATGGAAAAAAATGAATTTTCAGCGATTTTTTCAAAATGTCCCCTTGCGGCCAAATTTTGAAATTTTTCAAATTTTTTCGCGGATTCTTTATTTGGTGCCCGAGCACTACTAAAATATGCAAAAACCTCTTTCCAAAAGTCAGCGGTATCGATTTTCATTTCTTTAACGTATACATATATAGAGTGACGCAAAATATACATATTTCATATGTATAGGGGTATTGCGTCACTTGGGGGACTACCGTCCCCCGTGATATCAAGTGCACATATCAGAGGACTTGAAGTGAACCACCATATTTTATTAGGTATAACGTTACTAGAAATATTAGACGAAATTAAAATCGTTTTGAACAGAAATTGGCAGATATTGGAAATCATTTATTGAATTTTTATATTTTGTTTTTATACAATTACTTTTCGTTTTTTATTTATAATTTATAAATTTATAGTGATTACTGTTTTTATTTGAATAATTTAATTTTATATTTATTTCTGTTGTGAGATTAAATTCAGTGCTACGTTGACAGTGAACAAAATACTCTCAATACAGAATCTCTATACTCTATGAAATGTTTGTATGCGATCTTCATAAATCAAAACACTAAATATAGATGTCACAGTCACGGTCAACGAAAACTCTTAATTAATTAAGCTATGTACAATGGATAGATGCAACAATTTTTTTTTCAATCAAGCTTTTAAAGACATTTATTTTTAAAATGAGTGAGGAGCATTTGCTGTGGGATTTTCGACTGCTGTTTATTTGAATGATGATTGTTCATTTTTTCAATTCATCATTAAATATTGGGTGAATTAACTAGTTTATGTATTCCGGATGGATATCTATCGGCGATATTTTTGAATATCTCGATATTTAACGCAACTGAACACATAGAATCTACGCCAGAGCATATAGAATTTACAATTTGTCGCTACGCATATATGTATCAAGTACATTTTTTGCTTGTATTGTTGCAGTGTTACGAGATGACTTCCGCTTAGTGCCAAAAGATAAAGTGGCTCTTGTAGGTAAGATAATTTATTTTACGATGAGAATAAATTGCATTGAAGAAAGAAAACAATTGTAAAAGAGTAACAAAATTTACCATTTTTAAATTCTTCAAAACGCTATAATTATTTTATAATTTTTTTAAAGGTGGACCAGTAGTACTTAATTGCACACCTCCACGAGGAACCCCAGAAGCTTCAGTACGATTTTTATTATTTTATTTTTTTAAACCAATTACAAGTTTTGTTTTATTTGTTTATGTAATAGGTACTTTGGTACATGAATGGGAAATTACTCGATTTGAGTGGAAAAAGGTAAGAAAATATGCACTTTTTATGTCACATTAAATGTGTCGAATATTCAGTCCAACCAGAGTTGTCAACGAACAGCAACGAACGAACGGTTCTTTCTTAGCTTTTCTTATTCAATTTTTGTTCGTTCGTAGAAAAGCAAATGTTCGAATTGTTCATTCGTTCGTTCGTTGTTCGTAATCAATACACAGAAACAAGTATTCGAGTACGTTTACTCGCACTTTCGGTGTTAGTAGAGACTTTACCCCTCAAAATGAGTTACGCACTCTATTTAACTCTATTTTTGGTGTTAGTTTCATCGAAGTAAATGCATCACAGTGAAAAAAGAGATACATGTGTAGTACATATGTACGTTGCCGCATGCGTTCAACGAGTTATGTTTCGTTGCGTGCATATGAGTCTGTGTATACAAATGTGATTGCTAAGTGTATCGTCACATACGTTCGATGAAACTAACAAAATAGAGTGCGTAACTCATTTTGAGGGTTGAAGTCTCTACTAACACCGCAAGTGCGAGAAAGCGTACTCGAATACTTGTTTCTGTGTATATAAACATAATATGAAATTGTAATAAGTTATAAACTGACACGGATGATTTTAAATTAATTT